CTCTCTGCATTATTAGCATATAGTGCTTTATTCTCACATCTATCTGCCTATGCTATGCACTATTTTGGTTTATTGCTTTTGTCTTAGTCCTAAGGTTAGTTTAGCTCACCTTTGGCTATTATAGCCACTGTCACTATCTTCGCTGCTTTTCAGAACTTTGGATATATTTATGAGACTAAATAGCTTTGCAATTGAGTTACTTCTGTAAGTGTTCACGGATGGTCTTACCCTTCAACTTTTCGGTTGAATAAATACACCTTCAGCATAATGATTACTTGGATCTCCCTAATAGTCATCTGTTAATGCATTCTCCAATTAATGTTAATTTGGTCCACCAGGATACTTACAGCCATGTTTCTTTCTCTGCTTCTATCACCTTTGAGGCCAAAGACTACCATTCCAGAGTCTAAAATACTATCAAAGACATGCAGACCAATATTTTGTGGCTTTCTGTATGGTAGCAGTCTTCTTTCGATGTATACAAGTGGGTTGACCTCGTCTTTGCAATTTGGTCTTGTTGTCAGGGCGACTTATTTGGACGCACCTTGTCCGAAGGTGCAGGGACTGCAAAGGCCTCTTGGTTCTACATTAGTTGAAGTTGAATGTTCTGGAATATAATAACTTGATTCTTTAAAATAGGTTTATTCCAACAGAGGCTTAAGAATAAATTTGATAATAATGATCCTCCAAGACATGAGGTAATAAGGGGTCTTTGGAAGTACTTTTGTGCTACCCTTAAGTATACTCGTGACTGCATATTTTTTCAACCCTCTAACCTTATATACTAACCTATAATAAGCTCAGATTCTCACTCACAACTAAATTACAAAAGAGTTGTCACATCCACCATTTTATTAATCTACTATTCTCAAGCCCCTTGCAAAAGTATTTTTTATCAAAAATGCTTTGCCCAAAGTAAACAACGATACACACGAAAGTAGTCATGTGACCTCATTTTCGCAACTTGGCCATATTGGAGGAAGTCCAAGGCGACTTATTTGACGCACCTTGTCCGAAGTCCCCTACCATAATAGTTATCATAATTCTCAGCATCAGACCGTAGACTTGGTGAATTCTCAGACGTTTCGCCGGCATCGTAGTCGGCATCATCTTTGAGTCTTGCCATTCTCAGCACCAAACTACAACTCGTCAGCTTTGTGCTTAGAATGGCAAGACTCACTGATGATGCCGACTACGATGCCAGCGAAAAGTTTGAGAACGTACCAAGTCCACTGTCTGATGCTTTGAGTTATGACAACTACTATGACGGACGACTTCGGACTAGGTGCGTTCTACTTATCACCCTTACAACAAGACCAAGTTGCGACAACGAGGTCAACCAAATTATACAAATCAAAATCACTGTTTAACTGTCTGAAATCCTGCTGCCTAAGAGCCTTCCATTCCCGTCCTCGTTTACGCCATATTCGAAGAGCTAGTGCATATGATGCACATATCCATGCCAATAACCATGTCAGTGCCTGGGAATCTTCCTCTCTCTAGGCTTCAAACCCGTGACTCACTTATCCTCTTCCTCATCCCCACCCACATTGTGTCTCATTCTTTGCGGCCCTATGTCCGGATTAAGTCGTAACAGCTGGCGGTGTGTGTTGGTTCGACCTTGTTTTCGCAACTTGTTCGGCGCGTCAGGGAGACCCTGTGGAACGTACATAGTCTCGTGTCCTCTGCCATAGTATTCGTGATTTACAAGATTGGATCATGGGCTGGATACATTCTCAAACGTTTCGCCGGCATTATCAATGTGAAGAAAATGAGAGTACATAATTGTCTGAATTGGTAGATGGGCCATATGAAGTTGGGTTGGGAGAAGATCCAATATCAGAAATAAGAACGAAAATATGGGTGAGGAATGATGCCAAAACAGTTGAACAGAAAATTGGTTAAGGGGATTGCCTTCACTTGTCATTTTGATTAGTTGTAACTGTGCTTACAATGGTGAATCTCACTAAGGAATGCCGCTTACGATGCCGGCGAAACGTTTGGGAATGTACCCAGCCAATGGACCAATGCTGAAAATCATGAATACTATGGTACAGGACACGGTACTAGGCACATTCCACAACCTCTCCCTGACGCTCTGATTAAGTTGCAAAACAAGGTCTAACCAACAACATTAAAAAACTAAAGAAGACTGCGACCAAACAGAAGGCCACACCATCTTGGTCTTCATATCTACGATCTAAAATATTTGTTGGTTGATCTTACCAAGAGATGACGGGTGGTACCGCAGCCGTTTGACTCTAATACGACGTTCAAGTTGACGCTGATAGTAGGTTTTATAAGAGACGTGGTCCATGTGGCAAAGGCGTGACCATGAGACTTAGTCAGAGGCTTTAGCCTCGAATTAGTCACTAAGACGTAAGGCAGGGGGAATAACGCCTCGAGTGGGACAGATGGGGTTGCAGGGGTCGATTGAAATATGTAAACCAGGGAGAGAGCAGGCGGATCTTACGGGGCAAGAGAGAGACTGTGGTAAGACCTATGGAAGGAGGACGGCTTAACAATATGGCAGAATCTGATCGACATTCCCAGCACAAGGGTGAAGGGTGGTGAGAAGGCCAGCGCGGAGTGCGGAGGGTTCTCATGATAGCTGCTCAAAAGGGCCCACCGTAACACATTTAATTAAGCGAGTAAAAAATTGTGACAGTGAAGGCGTGATAGGAGGATATAAGAAATCTGAATAGGCTAGGGCAGAAGGGGAGATACCATAACTGTTTAGCACACATTTTGTCAGAGGATCGGCTTCACTTGTCTCATAGACGAATGGCAAAATTCACTGACGATGCTGACTACGATGCCGGCGAACCGACTGGGAATGTACCACGTCCACTGTCCGACTTGCGAAATGTTTATGCATATAATGAACTCTGGACGAGGTGTGTTCCTCTAAGTCTTTTTACCAATATGACCAAGTTGCGAAAACAAGGTCAAACAAATTCTATACAACGAAAGGAGACTCCGACCACACAAAAGGCCACACCATCTTGGTCTTCATACATTCGATCATATGTCTCTTAGTTTTTGCATATATGCTCCTCTATTTGTGATGATCAGCGGACAAAATCAAGCGTTAGGCATGCCTACAATGAAATTAAGTAGTACCATTATTCTGAATTGGCGCTTGGCCTGAATAATGCCTTGGCGCTCCAGGCTATACACAATCTATTCATCATCTCTTAATTTTCTTCCGGCTCAAATTTCTTGTAGGTTCTGCTGATCTTCCAGATCCGTTGGAGATTCTTTTATATGAGAAACCATGACTTATTTAGAAGGGGTTTGATCTCGGTTTCGCAACTAGGTCGTATTGTCAGAGGGACCTAGATAAAAGCACTTTCTAAACGGCTCTGCTATCGTAGGTATGATAACCTTGTCCAGGCGTGCGGTTTTAGGGAGGCCTATTTAATCTACCCGTTGGTTCCCTCATCCCTCTTATTTGTTAAGGATGTTGATCCAATTTGGCTCTTTTAGTCTGCAATCCATTTGATCCAGATCTATCATAGTCTTCCTCTTACACCTTAAGATCCATCTCTTAAATCCCTGGTTCGGCGATTTCAATCAATCTCTATTACCATATATGTGCTATTTTGGGCGTTATTTCCCATTACCTCAAACCTTTGGTAGCACGTATACTCTAATCTCACCGAGCAGCCCTCGAAAATATGAATTTTTCAGATGGATGGAAAACTAACTTAACTCTGCAGTTTCCCTTATCACTATTTGGCATGTGCACTTGGTAAATCTCGTGGTCAAGCTCACACTTGTAAGTCCATGTCTGTGGTTAAATTCGCATACTGTGAGCGAACTATTTCTGGTCGCCTTCGCAATTAGCGCTTCTATTCATAATGTCAAATCTGACTTTCGTATTCTCTAGTCTCCTGTTTGCAAACCTACAAATGTTTTAGCTGTTTGCTTGCTTTACTTAGACTCACTGTAGACGTCTTGATTTCAGAGTGTCCTCTAGTAGCTCTTTCCTATTTCTTTTCTTCTGGTTCAAAATACTTCACTGCTCTTCTTCATCTTTTTACTGATATTGTCCTTCCCTGATCTCCCCCAACTTTGCTTAAGCAATATGCAAGGTTTTCACTAATTCTGCCTTCTTCCAGTCTTCCATTTATTTGATTTCGTCCAATCAGGACATCGAATACCCCTCGGATCTCACATTTCCTTGTATTTTCATTCTATGCGGTCAGTCTTACTGGAGATTTGGTGTCCCGTCCATGCAATGCGTTCCGCTATTTCGTATATTTCAGTTTCCTTTTTTCTGCAGGTCTTTGATGCTCCTTTCTTCGTAGACATATTTTTATTCCTGTTTTACCAGTAAACTTCTGCTCCAAGTTGCTGCGATCTAGTTTGTCAACTTTCTCGTGTGGCGTCGGCAGGTTGGTAAAGAGTGTTGTC